TAATAATAATAATAATAATTATAATTATAATCTCAATGCGATATTAGTTGAAATTTTGTGAGAGATATTAGACTTGGAATGCTAAATGTTATGTGATTATTTTTATAATTTTTATACAACTTTAACCCTTTACACTCGAGGGCTCCGCTATGGAGACAATAAAAACAAAAAAAAAACAAAAAAAGAAGAACAAAAACTAAAGCAAATTCAATTTAATCTACAACGTATCAACTATGACTTATCTTTTATATAAATATATCATTTACTTATATAATATGTGAATATGATTTTTGCTAGTAATATAAATGAAAAAAAAAAAAAAAACAGAACTTCGAGTGCAAAGAGTTAATAGTATTGTAAATAATTAATATTAATAAAATTGTATTGTATATAATGTGTATATATTATTATTTTTTATATACAGGTATTATTGGCAATGAATGCAAACGTAGAAGATCGTGGCATCAAAGGGGATTGTACCCCTCTTATGGAGGCTGCCAGTGCAGGCCATGTGGATATTGTAAGCTTACTTATAGCACATGGAGCTGATGTTAATGCTCAGTCAACTTCAGGTAGAATAATATAATATATAATATAATAAACATGTTATAGAATAACAATAAACATGTTTAGATTTCAATCATTTTATTATTATAATATCTGTGGAATGTAAAAGCAAGTTATTGATGCAAGAAGTATTGACTTTATAAAATAAATTCAATTTTTAATCTATATGAATGATAGTTTATTTTATAATTCGATTATTAAATTATTATACATAGTAGTAAAATATATTTCTTTTGAATGTTAATTTTTCTTTGTATTAGAAGCAGTGATGAAAATTATTTTCTATATTATATGTGGATTCTTAATTATGCTTGAAGGTAACACACCTCTTATGTATGGATGTGCTGGGGGTCACGAGGAAGTTGTACGGGTATTATTAGAAGCAGGCGCCAATGTTGAAGATCATAATGAAAATGGTCATACACCTTTAATGGAAGCAGCTAGTGCCGGGCATGTTCCAGTTGCCAAAATTCTACTGGATCATGGCGCTGGCATTAATACTCATTCTAATGAATTCAAAGAATCTGCTTTAACATTGGCTTGTTATAAAGGACATCTTGAAATGGTGCGTTTCTTATTGGAAGCTGGAGCTGATCAGGTAAAAATTTGTTTCTACTTCTTTTGAAAAGTTTGTATGAATATACTTAATTTTACTGTTTTATATATTTTATAAATTTTTGATGATACTACTTGTGATATATTGCTGATGATTTATTGTCTATATAAATGTTTTATTTAATTTAACCTTAACTACACATGTATAAAACGATGTTTTTAGGAGCATAAAACTGATGAAATGCACACTGCCCTCATGGAAGCATCTATGGATGGCCATGTAGAAGTAGCACGTTTACTTTTAGATTCCGGAGCTCAAGTAAATATGCCAACAGATAGTTTTGAATCACCATTAACTTTGGCAGCTTGCGGTGGCCATGTAGATCTTGCAATGCTACTTATTGAAAGAGGAGCGAATATTGAAGAAGTTAATGATGAAGGTTATACACCTTTAATGGAAGCTGCACGAGAAGGTCATGAAGAAATGGTTGCATTACTTTTAAGTCAGGGTATGTCTTGGTTATAAGTAATAAGTCAGATAATTATAATAGTATTGTATTACAACAATATAAATTAAATGTAAAACTTACAAACAGGTGCAAACATCAACGCCCAGACAGAAGAAACTCAAGAAACAGCACTCACTTTAGCATGCTGCGGGGGTTTCTTGGAGGTAGCCGATTTTTTAATTAAAGCTGGAGCTGATGTTGAATTGGGTGCATCTACCCCTTTAATGGAAGCTGCACAAGAAGGACATTTAGATCTTGTTCGATATTTACTTGAATCTGCTGCCGATGTTCATGCTCAAACACAAACAGGAGATACAGCATTAACATATGCTTGTGAAAATGGCCATACTGATGTCGCTGATTTCTTATTACAATTTGGCGCTGACCTAGTACGTGTAACGATAATAAAAATCAAAAGTTTAGACAATTTAACATGCCTTATTATCAACACATATATTTTTATCTATTTATCTAGGAACATGAATCTGAAGGAGGTAGAACCCCTTTAATGAAAGCTTGTAGAGCAGGTCATTTATGCACTGCTCAGTTTCTTATTACCAAACATGCTGATGTCAATCGGCAAACAACAAACAATGATCATACTCCTCTTTCATTAGCTTGTGCTGGAGGTCATTTACCCGTTGTTGAACTTCTTTTAGCACAGTCTGCAGATCCATTTCATAGACTTAAGGTATGCTTTTTTTTATCAAAGTGTCTTAACATATATTACTAATTTTTATTTATATTTTAGGATAATTCTACCATGCTGATAGAAGCTGCGAAAGGTGGACACACTAGTGTTGTCCAACTTCTACTAGATTATCCTCACAGTATTATGATGACTGCACCTCATAATGCTGCTCCTGCTCCTATGTTAGTTCCCCAACAACAACAACAACAGCAACCACAGCAGCAGCAACAGCAACAACAACAGCAACCGCAGCAGCAGCAGCAGCAGTTACAACAATCGCAGCAACAGCAATCGCAGCAACAACAACCACAACAGCAGCAGTTGCAACAACAACAACTACAACAACAGCAACTTCAACAGCAACACCAACTGCAACAACAACAACAACAACAACAACTACAGCAACAGCAACTTCAACAACAGCAACTTCAACAACAACACCAACTGCAACAACAACAACAACACCAACTGCAACAACCGCAGCAACAGCAACAACAGCAAGTGCGCAGTTCTACTCCTATTACGCCTACATTACAGGAACAACAGCAGCAGCAACAGCAGCAGCAGCAGCAGCAAGCTGGAGAACAATCACAAATACAAAACCTTCAACCAAAACATAATACACAAAAATCATTATTAAGAAAAAACCGATCTGCAACTATAATACCGGATACAAGTCTTACTTCTGCTGAAGCACAGCAAGTTCGTTCTCAACCTGCAACAGAAACAATAGTTCCAGCAAAGGATGATACTAATATTCTGGATAAAGGTAGCGGAGGATTCAGTGGTGTGTCTGCACCGAACATCAGTTTGAGTCCTGCTCCAGCACCAACCTCTGGATTGAATATTTCAGAAAGCAGGAAGAATATTCGACAAGAGCAAATTCTACATAAGCAACACATCCTTGAAGAGTTGCAAGTAAATTTTTAATTGTTTCTGTTTGCAATTAAAATTTGTTATAAGAATAGAAGAATTATATCGTGATACTATGTAATAAAATATTCTTTTTTAAATAATTAGAGGGTAGAAAGGGAACTGCAAATCAAGGGTGCAGGTCATTTATTTAATGGTCCAAGAAATGCTAACGTTCGATCTACTCAACAACCACAAGCTCAACAGCAAGAATGTAATGAACCCGAAACTTTCATACCTGGTATGCTCAATATTGACTTACCAGCTCAACCAGCAACTGCACCTCATGGTATTGTTTCATTTTATTATTATTTATTAAAATGTTTCAATTTTTTGTTGTTAAATTGAACAAATATTAGATATATTCAATTTTTTACTAAGGTTTAGTATGCAGTACAACTGGTATGTCAGGAAGTTCATTAACGCATCCAGCAACGCCTGATGCAATGACTCTTTACAATATATTTCTTGAGGGAAAGAGAGTTGGCATGGCCAGTGCAATGAAAAAAGAGTCTTTCTCTACAGCAAATAAATTTCCTACTTCTCCTCCATTATCTCTTGCTGCAATACCTTCAACATCAACAGTAACTGTGGTGACTTCTAATACGTCTTCAACGACTACACCGAGCCCACCTAGTATTTCAACGCCGCCAACGGTTATGGCAATTTCGCAACCTATTACTGCTAGTAGTGATGTTAGCCAGAACACTGCAATTAGTGATCGCCCAAAAGCTAAACCTGTATCGAAGAAAGAGGGCAAAAATATTCGTAAAGCTGCATCTAGTATGGCAGATGGGAAAATGCAGCAACAATCGGCGACGTTGATTGCTGGCCTCCAGCAGCAATATCAGCAGCAACAACATCATCACACTTATCAAGTTCAACAAGTGCATCAATTACAACAGCTTAATCAACAACTTCAATTGCAATTAGATCAAGTACAGGTTTGTATTTTTTTTTTTTCAGTTAACATTCCTCAACACTAAATTTTCAATATGATTAGAATAATTATTAGATCGATGATGTATAAAAAACAAGCATAGAAGCTTTCACTTCTTCATAAACTACATACAGGTGCAGCAACAGCAGCAGCAACCACAACAGCAAGTACAACCACAGCAACAACCACAAGATCAACAACAACAAGCACAACAGCAACCGCAAGCACAGCAACAACCGCAACAGCAATCTCAACCAAGTAGCATTGTTGCTGGTAATGGAGGAGGAGTATTGTTGCCTACTCAATTGATGTCGCACCTACATCCTCCTCATTCACATCATCTTCATAATCAGGTACGATGTATTGTGTTAAAAGTAGAGTAAACGAATACATTTAATGTTTATATATTAAAAAAGATCAACTAGGAAACTTTCGTACAAATTTCTGAGACATGAGATTATCTTTTTAATTAATTTTTGATGTTACTACCTCTAACATTATATTTTAATAATTAATATATCAGAAGATTCTTAATTTTAAATATTTAATATATTACTTTTTATGTAATATTATAATTTTTGGTTTTATCTAGCAAGCAACATCTCAGCAGAATCTTCCAGAACCAACAGATCCTCAGCTAACAAGATTACATAGAGATGGAGCTTGTCCATTCTTTGCTGCTGCTCAAAAAGCAAAAGCCCTTTCTAACAACGAAAGAGTAATAAAGCTTGAAGATGGAACTGATATTCCTCTTGATGATGCTTTTGAAATTTTCCGTTCCATTAGTTTTGATGATACGATGGATGGTAAATATTTTTTAATTTATTTTTTTTTTTAATTTTACATTTTGTATATCAGATGGTTTTTTAAGTTATGTAACAAATTACATATGAAATTGTTTACTCATCAGCAACCGAAGATCAAGAGAAACTCGAATTGAAGAAATTAGAGGTTTCCAATAGTAAGGAACAACAAAATCAACAGCAACTTGTACAAACTGCGCAAATAATTCGACAAATAACTCATCCTCAAGAATATTTTGGTGCTCCTATACCTAATGTACCACCAGCTTCGTTACCTACTTTACCATCTTTACAAGTGACAAGTGCTGGAGTGCAAATACAAGCAGACATAATTCATAGTCAAGTATTGAAAGCTCGACTTTACCAAGAAGGTTATCGCGATGGTCTTCAGTTTAGACAACAGCAGATTATTCACGATACATTTCAATCACAATTACTACTGCAATCTTCTCAAATAAGTAAGTTTTTTATTTTACTTTCGTATTTACTTTCGCAGAATATATATATGCGAATTAATAAAATATTTACATATTTATTTTATTTTCTATAAAAAGCATTTCCTACCCAAACACTACCAACAATTACTGGAGCAGCAGGAATAATGGATAATATGCCACATCAATCCAATGGTTATGTACAATCTACAGTTTGTAATACGAATCAAGTTCAAGTTGCCACCCAAACTCAAGCACCAGCAACGACCACCGTTGCAACTGTGATTCCTCCCGACAAAAAACAAGTTTATACAGCGCCAACAACAGGTAAAGGCAAGAAAGCAAGATATCCGCTTCTTTCTCAGCAGCAGTCTTGTCAACAACAAACAACTACCACTAGCCAGCAACAAACTCCAAACTTTCCAGCACAAAATTATCAATTAGATCCAGCAGCAGGTAATAAAAATGTGATCTTTTTTAGTTTGAATTAAAATCTATTTTGTTTTTTCACAATATCTTTATTTTGAATTTATTCTAGCTGCTGGTCAGTATACAACAGGTGTTCCAGCAGTGGGTGGTTATGCTACCAATCAAGTACCACCAGTGCCATTTGGATGTATGGATGTAGATTCGGAAACTGATAGCAATCATGATACAGCACTGACATTGGCATGTGCAGGTGGTCATGAAGAACTTGTAGAACTTCTTCTAAGTCGTGGCGCAGATATAGGTAAAATGTTAATGAATATATAAGATCCTTATACGATTAGACATAATATTTTTTTCTAAAACACTTTCAGGATAATGAATACTGAATGAATATTGATTGATATATTTCATATCTGAATGTTACAGAACATAGAGATAAAAAAGGTTTTACTCCGCTAATCTTAGCAGCTACTGCTGGTCATCAAAAAGTAGTCGAGATTCTTCTTAATCATGGAGCTGACATAGAAGCCCAATCTGAACGTACAAAGGATACACCTTTGTCACTTGCATGTAGCGGAGGAAGATATGAAGTGGTTGAGCTCCTTCTTAATCGTAGTGCCAATAAAGAACATCGCAACGTTTCCGATTATACGCCATTAAGTCTTGCAGCATCTGGTGGCTATGTGAATATAATAAAGCTTCTTTTAAGCCATGGCGCCGAGATTAATTCTAGGACTGGTTCAAAATTGGGCATTTCTCCTCTTATGCTTGCTGCTATGAATGGTCATACTGGTATGCAATTTGAAAAATATATATTTAATATATAAATCAAATAAAAATAATTTGTCTCCATATATATAAAAATGCATAGATAAAATTTAAATATATTATATTATATATATATTAATATATTAAAATTAAAATTTAATTATAATATATAATTATAATTATATAATATATTTAAATTTAATTATAATCTAAATTATAGCGGCAGTTAAATTACTTCTTGATATGGGCAGTGATATTAATGCACAGATAGAGACAAATCGTAATACTGCTTTAACACTCGCATGTTTTCAAGGAAGACATGAAGTTGTTAGTCTTTTACTTGATCGAAAAGCTAATGTGGAACATCGCGCTAAGGTAGATTTTTTTTATATATACCATGTAATGTATATACCATGTAATGTATATACCATAATGTATATACCATACATATACCATATTATGCAGCATATTATGAAGTGTGAAATGTTTTAATGTATAGACGGGATTAACACCATTGATGGAAGCTGCTAGTGGAGGTTACGTCGAAGTAGGTCGTGTATTGCTTACTAAAGGCGCTGACGTTAACGCAACTCCTGTTCCATCCTCTCGCGATACTGCCCTTACAATTGCCGCTGACAAAGGTCACTGCCGTTTCGTAGAATTGTTACTATCCAGGTACTATTATTATATATATTTTGTAGTATTCTGTTTATTTTGGGATACGCTGAATATAATCGGATAATAATTTGGAATATAAAATATATCTTTCAGGGGGACTCAGGTTGAAGTGAAGAATAAGAAAGGAAACAGCCCTTTATGGCTTGCTGCTAATGGAGGACATCTCAATGTAGTAGATTTATTGTATCATGCTGGTGCAGATATAGATTCTCAGGACAATCGTAAGGTAAAATAAATCGTTATTAATTTTTATAGGTGTATTCTCTATGTGAAGAGAAAGTATAGTAAAAAAGAGAATATAGTAGAAAGAATAGTAAAGTATTCTGTAATATATGCATTATGTATTGTATATTTAAAAATAAGAGATTAAGAAAAATAAAGGGAGAACAATATTTAATAAATTTTTAATTCTTGGTCATTAATTTTTTTTCTTTATTTTGTTTGAATATATAGGTATCGTGTTTAATGGCGGCATTTCGCAAAGGACATATTAAAGTGGTCAAGTGGATGGTAAATCATGTAACACAATTCCCAAGTGATCAGGACATGACTAGATACATAGCTACTATTAGCGACAAAGAGCTTTTAGAAAAGTGTCAAGAGTGTGTTAAAGTAATAAGAGCTGCGAAAGAAACTCAAGCTGCTAAAGCCAATAAAAATGCAACAATACTATTGGAGGAACTTGATATGGAGAAAACAAGAGAGGAATCGAAGAAAGCAGCAGCCGCTCGTAGACGCGAAAGAAAGAAAAAGAAGAAATTAGAGAAGAAAGAGGAAAGACGAAAACTTCACGAAGAAATTAAAAAACATGAATCAAATTATGATGAAAAAGATGAAAATGAAAAGAAATCTGTAGATGAGGAATGTGATAGAGCGGAGGATAGTGAGCACGAAGGCGGCGATAGTTGTGAAAGAGTAGACAGTGTGCCCTCGCCTGTTAATAGAAGTCCGGAAGATCCTGACAGAGAGGAAGGTGATAGTGGTATTGATGCTAACAGTCAAGGTAGTTGTAGTAGTAATGATGTCAAGGCGAGAGAGAAGAAGAAAGATAAGAAAAAGAAAAAAAGTAATAGTCCCAGCAACAATGAAAAGGATACTTCCCCGCAACGGTCGTCTAAATCCATTATCACGCAAAATACTTCCTTACCTCAAAATACTGTAACACCTACTAAATCGCAAAATACATCTTCCGAAAAGTAAGTAAACATTACTATTGCTTTAATTGTAATTGTAAACCCTTTAGATATAAAATATTTTTATTTTTGTTTTTATTTACATAATTATTAATAATTTATAAATGATGAAATTTAATATTTTATATAGAGTATTATGTTATATTATTATTTAACTTTCTGTAGAAGAAATTTGAGTAATGTCACCAGTGCAACCTCAACAACATCTTCATCAACTACAAATACAAGAACATCTGTCAATTGTGGAGAACGTAAATTGAAAGGACAATTGGTATTTGAATCATCGAGGCATCCAGCTGATAGAGAAGATTTTGAGGCCACTGGCAATGAAACTTATATACCTGGGAAAGGAAAAAAAGCTTATAGTAATCAATATGACGGGGATTCTTTAAATACGGCTTTAAAAGCAACTAGTACCACTAGTCCAAAACAAGGTGGTAAACGCGAGGAAGGTTGGAAAGAAGTCGTACGCAAGTGAGTTATTCAAGATTACATTTGGTTATCAAATACTTATACCTACATTTCTATATTTCTTTCTATATCACATTTTATAAATTTCTTTTTACACTTTATTTTAACTAGTATTTGATTATGCTTGTATATAATAATAAATTCTATTTTAAAGAAGGAATATAAATAAATTATATATTATTTTTAACAGGGGCCAATCCGATGATTCGGGAAGATTCATGAATTCTCCTTTCCGTTCTAAAAAAGTTGCAGTACCACCAAACGCTATTAGCCGAGTAATTGGTAGAGGTGGAAGTAATATAAATGCCATTAGAGGTGCAACCGGAGCTCATATTGAAGTAGAAAAACAAAGCAAATCTCAAGGGGAAAGAATAATTACCATCAAGTAAATATTCTTAGTATAACTTTATATAACATAAATATGCCTTTAAAAAAATGTATAATTTAATATATGTATATATTATCTTAATTACAGAGGATCATCTGATGCTACAAAACAAGCACATACACTAATTGCAGCACTTATCAAAGATCCAGATGTTGATATCCTGCAAATGCTGCCAAAATCCAAACTTACTGTTGTTACAACTTCATCTTGGGATAAAGCCATCTCCACTGTTGCTGTAAGTTTAACTTCCTAGCTACGGCGAGGCTGGCCGTGTCGCTGTATCGCCAGTACGGAATTCTCTACCGCGGTATGCATAAATAGGATTGCCGGTGCATGGCAAAAATTGCCTGTTTTCCAATCTCTTCATAATTTACAACATTATGGTATTAAAAGTAGTATCAAGGAACCCATTTTTGTGGTATTTAGTAGTTGCAGGCTTATCATTTCTTTTAGTAAAAAAAAGACTGCTTTCATTAAATAAATAATTTTTTTTTCTTATAAATTCATGTATAATTTTACAGGCAACAAAGGCTAAAGTTGGTCCTGTAAATAAACCTACTTCTTTGGGATCTACTATCAATAATTCTCAATCGAACAAATCGTACATGTCAGGAGTATCCGCAGCTAATCAATTGATTCCTCTTCGGAGCGCGTCCACCATAAAACTTGCTGGTGCCTTTCCAACATCTTTACCAAGAGCTGCAGCGCCCAGATTGGTAGCAGCTGCAGGTAATATTAAAATATCTTGTAAAGAATAATCATGCTGCATTAAATATTTATCAAATGCACTGTGAGAGATAGTAGCTATGAAAATTTATTTTCAAAATAATAAAATTAGTAATCAATAATAATAATAATCAATAAATCTTAATTGTAATTTAAATATGATCTTGTATTGTATATTGTACTTATTTGTCATATAAATACATTAATAATAATTACATTGATTCATTTGTAGCCGAAAAACGTGCACAAGCTGCAGCTGCCCAAATGGCTTCGTCATCTAATACGAAGACAACTATGTCTTATACCAGCGCAATCATGACAGCGGGACGCGCAACAAAAATTGTAACAACAAGTACCACACAAACGTTTGCAGCTAAGCTTTCTGAGATCACTGCCTCAACGCATACTTCTACCACTGTCATGCAATCGACTCATACCACTGTAAACAAGCAAAAGTCTTTACAAGCAAATACTGTGACCATAGTATCAGCCACAGCCGCAGGTACAGCTCAGACATCTTCTCAGCAGTCTCTAGTTAGTACATCGCCAAAGCACTGCCGACCACTGCCTACTTTATCTGCCCCGCCAACAATCGCCCCTCATTATACTGGAAAATCTAATTACTCGTCTGGCTCAAGTGTAACTCCGGCTGGCATTAATGTTACATCAACATGTTCGGAAACCAGCCTGGTGTCCACTTCTACTAATTCTGTACGTGTAACACCCTCACCGCCAGCTATATCGCAAGGCCAAAACTTACAGCAACAGCAGCAACAACAACAACA